GTGTTTCTCCAACAAATACTCTTCTCTTCCTTTGGAACTGCACGTGTAGGCCATTTCTATTTTATTTATTTATTTATTTATTATCATTTGACATTATCCTTTGGTTCTTTTAATGGAGCACGAGAAGGAGTCACACTTTGTAGTTAAGGTAGAAGTCGAGTCTAGCTTGAGTTTGTGTTTTAGCAGACATAGTGTTTGTGAGTTTTGGTACTGACTTAAGTATCACCAAGCTAGCAATCATTGAATGCACCATCACATCACAATTTGGTCTTTCATAGTGTAATAACATCACAAGAGTAATAATAACTCTAGGCGATGTATCAGGTAGCCATTTTAGGCTGGCAACTTGCAAGTTCTGTACAAGATACCTTGAACCCGGGGGAGGCTGAATAGTATAATATACTAAACAAAATAATTTTTTACTATATATTTTATATGCAAAAAGATTGTGAGATACATTAAGCAGATTTTGGGATATTTTGGTGTTTGCACACCACTGACATAGAGGAGAAAAGATGATTAATATTGTGTTAATGCTATGGGTCTCCTAATAAGCCAAAGGTGAATGTGGGATTTGTACCCGTCCATGAAAATAAAAACATGTTGACACACCCCAGTGGGGCAATTACCCAACCTTCCATGTTATCTGTTGTTCCTTGACAAGGAACATTCTTCCTTCCATGACTGGTAAGAAACAAATTATACATAGTTTACATGTAACTGTTCTTTCAGTAAATTTTATATGAATTCTTAAAGTGTATCAAATCATTTTATCATTTATTAAACCATTAACATACACGTTGATTTAAACATTTTCCCCCAAGGATGGACTTTTTAAATAAATAAATGTTATCAAATGAGGTTGCTTTTATTCAGATTTTTCATTTATATCGTACACAATTATTGTTTTTCTCATCTATATAATCACTTATTGAGCAATATTTCTGTGAAGAAAAACTATACCCATTAGGACCAAAACCATTTGCTACATATTTTCAGAAAGCACACAATATTTATTAAAAACATTTTTCTTCCACTATCTATTACTGGAAATTACAAAACACCAAATAAGCAATATGTGCTGTTCCAAATCTGAATTATCGTTCCAATATGACATTCAATTCAATATATAATTTGTACCTGCACAGCTTTCTCTGTTTCATTAGGTGCTTATTTGGATGCATTTTACACTGTTACCATTATTTTATTTAATGCATTTAAATATCTGAAACATAAAAAAAAGTAATAAAAAAAGAAAGATAGGAATTCTATCAGAACTATTTACAAAAGCAATTATCATAATCATGTACTAATATTAGGTTTAGTTATAAAGTTCTAGCGTATTCTACAGCTATGTACACAGGTCAAACGTAACATGTTAATGACTTTATATTTCTTGGTAAAGCAATGTTTGTCCCCAGACTTCATTTTACATTCATCTTTTTCTATGTTAACAAATACTCATTTCACATGTAAACCTGGTTCCATTATCAAGTTGTCATATCTTGTTGAGTATTTTTATTTTAGTTTCTTCTTTTGTTAAACATTCCTCCCCCATCATACACTTAAAAGGAGAGCATAGAAGGTCATTTATATCATATCAGTTTCAGATTCTAGTGTACATAATTTAGGAATTTTCACATGACCATGCTTATTCGAGCACTATATTTATGAAGTGTTATTCTACTTTAACTTCTTCAACATTCCTTCTCATCATCTATTACTTTTACTGAAAATCAGGCCAGATGTATGTGCCAGATACATATAGGCACAGAATTTTAAGGCACCCACTCCCCACTCACCCCCCCCAAAAAAACCAAACAAAGCAAATTAAGTGAGTTTGATGGATTTATAAACTGGACATTGCAGGTAGAACTCTAATATATATGTGTAGGACCTGCCAAAGATGGGGTACATTTACGTTGTGGCAGGCTTATGCAATGTATGATCATATAATGTAACTAAACCCCCATTATTTTTGCCTAGATTAGGTGTTTTTAAAAAAACAAATAAAATCTTTCAACATTGAAGTTGCTGTTTAGTGGATAGGTGAGTGTGCTGCATCTTGTGTAATATATATATATATATATATATATATATATATACATACACTGAACAAAATTATAAAGGCAACATTTTTGTTTTTGCCCCCATTTTTCACGAGCTGAACTCAAAGATCTAAGACTTTTTCTATGTACACAAAAGGCCCATTTCTCTCAAATATTGTTCACAAATCTGTCTAAATCTGTGTTAAAGAGCACTTCTCCTTTGCCGAGATAATCCATCCACCTCACAGCTGTGGCACATCAAGATGCTGATTAGACAGCATGACTATTGTACAGGTGTACCTTAGGCTGGCCACAATAAAAGGCAACTCTAAAATGTGCAGTTGTATCACACAGCACAATGCCACAGATGTTGCAAGTTTTGAGGAAGCGTGCAATTAGCATGCTGACTGCAGGAATGTCTACTAGAGCAGTTACCCGTGAATTGAATGTTCATTTCTTTACCATAAGCCGTCTCCAAAGGTGTTTATAATTTTGCCCAGTGTGCATATATATATATAAGAGAAGAGAGATCCTTGGTGCTTGTTTGGTGTACGTGTAGCAGCTAGAACTTCCCAAATCAGCGTCTCTTCCTTCTGACTATATGTAGATATAGATAAAAATATAATAAAAAACAGATACAGGTGCGCTGTGCCTTTACAAAATTAAGAAATAGTGTAAACACACTTATTAATTTCAATCAGACAAGGTGTATGTAAATCACTAAAGTGATCTAGTGCAAAACCTATTGTGGACCCAATACTGTGCAAGGCCACTGCCAACATCCTTATAATGAAAAAAAAAAATATGAACTTACAATACAAAGAACATAAGTGTCCCCCTCTTGAGCTCAAAGTAAAAAAACTAAGAAAAATACATAGTGTAAAACTACACATGAAATCAGTTGATGTTAAAAACCTATGTTGGAACACTCACAAACAAAGAGCATGTGAGCCTGCTCTGACTGATCAGCTTGAATAGATCCCTTAAATGGGTATGCAATGCAGGAAAGGATGCCAGTAATAGGTATGTTTAAATACTTTATTGCATCAAATAGTAGTAAAAACATCCCCAGTGTTCTTCTCCTTTGTGGGTCTTGGGGTGTAAGGAATCACCAGTCCTGTTAGTTCGACGCGGGCTGCAAGACTATGGGCTTATCGATATTCTACACAAGCACTTCCTGGAGGTGGGGATTGCTTCTGAACCACATGACAACATGACGTGGTGTGTGCGTAATGATGCGTTTCGCATAATTAGCTTCTTCAGATCTGATTCTGAGTAAGCCGATTGGCTAAACTTGTCATCACACGTTTCCTAAGTGGAAATGTCCAAATTGGACCCAAAGTGGCAATATTTTGTGTGGCCACCATTATTTTCCAGCACTGCCTTAACCCTCATGGGCATGGAATTCACCAGAGCTTCACAGGTTGCCACTGGAGTCCTCTTCCACTCCTCCATGTAGACATCACGGAGCTGGTGGATGTTAGAAACCTTGCGCTCCCCCACCTTCCATTTGAGGATGCCCCACAGATGCTCAATAGGGTTTAGTAGACAAAAAATAGTATATAGGTCGCGCTGTAGGGACAAAGAAGTAATATAAAAAGTGAATAAAAAGTCCCAAATAGTAAATCAACCTGTATGATTCTTGAGTGTATATAAAGTCCAAATGAGTATCTGAGGCTTCTTGTGTAGTGCAGAATGTCGACAAATGGTCAGATAGAAATCTGTGAGTAGGTAAAAAACTCACCTTTGAATGAGCAAAGAAACTTGCTCAAGTATTCTCAGCATTCAGTGGTGTCAATCCCCCACTGGTCGGATAGAGGTGATGGAATCTTTAAAAGTTCCTCGATATGTGAAGAGATGAGAGACGTATATAGTGCTCACTGTATTATTTAAAAAACAAATAAAATGGTAAAATACTCACATGTATATGAGCAGGAACTACTGCTCAATGTAATGGCGCAGGTGGTATAATCCCCACCTAGGATTCTTGAGTAGTAACGTACTTCAATTCGAATCGGTGACCAGGTAATTCAAATTAAAATAAAATGAAATAAAAGGTATATATAGGCAAAAATAGAAGCCAATATTCCTTTATTAAAATATAATATATCAGTATAAAAAACAATATAATAATAGCCAGAACGCGTTTCACCACACAGGGCTTTATCAAATGGCATTAAAAGTGCTTTTTAATGCCATTTGTTAAAGCCCTGTGTGGTGAAACGCGTTCTGGCATAATTATATTGTTTTTTATACTGATATATTATAGTTCAATTAAAAATGCTTTTTAATGCCATTTGATAAAGCCCTGTGTGGTGAAACGCGTTCTGGCTATTATTATATTGTTTTTTATACTGATATATCATACTTCAATTAAAAATGCTTTTTAATGCCATTTGATAAAGCCCTGTGTGGTGAAACACGTTCTTGGGCTACTGGTTATTTACAGGAATATAAATAAAATCACAGTATCAGCGCTTAGCAGACAATCCCTTGTGTAACAAGTGAATGGACAGAGGTGTAAAGCCTCTAAGTCTGACCTTATATAAAATATATGCAATGTCCTGAAGTAAAAGTCAAAGTAGAGGTTAAAACTAGAAGATATAAAATAATTAAGGATATCTCCACACTGGAAAAAGTGGTACAAATCTTCCTTAGTTGTTTCTCTTTCATCTGGTGGGTAATTGTATCCAACCTTAAGAAAAGGATACTAACATAGTGTAAAAAAGTAACAATTTATTGAACACACTTAAAAAAAAAAAAAACCCTACATAAAAACTCTTACAAGAGAGTATTGTGAGACTTATCTCTAAGTATCACAGAAAAAGCACAAGTACAATACTGTGTACTCGCCGGTATGATGTTCTTGGGCTGCTCCGCCGATGTATCTGTGCTGATCGGTCCCGTGCACTGGAACCGATCTATGTGTAGAGCTGTCAACTACCAAGTACTACCGTATTGGATTACTTCAATTTGAAAATGGAATCCAATTTTCAAATTGAAGTAATCCAATAAGGTAATATAGCACATATTAAGTAATTATTTTCAGACTACAAGGATAAAGAGGGTTGTTTTGAAACAGAGAAATGGAAATATGATTATGTTATTTAATATAAATAAATGAAAATCTACACTGCCAGAGGAAGAGGTATGAAGAACAAAAATATCAAGATATTTATAAATGATTCTAAGGCTGTAAAAAATATCTACCTATCTATCTATCTATCTATCTATCTATCTATCTATATTAAATAATAAATAATAATTTGCTATTGAGGATACCATTACCCTATTTCACATCTAATGTCAAGTATGCTGCCAGAGTCAAACATCAATAAAACCAATACAAAATACTGAAAACACAAATACTTGCTTTTAGCTAACTACGCTGTCAGTCAAACATCAATAAAACGTTAACTATTAGCTTGAGGCTTTATCTATATAGTGATATTCACACAATCCATCCACTATTCTGTTGCATTTGAAGGTTATACACACATCACACATGTTGATATACCTTGGACGTTTTATAATACTTCATATTATGACACATCTTGGGCCAGCAGGGATCAACTCCATCAAAGCAAGTACAGACATATGCACTGGAATCAGTAAAAATGGCACAAAAGGAAAATTTAAAAAATAGCAACCCTGGGGAACCCGGCAAACAACAAAATAGAAACAATAACATAGAAAATGGAAAATGAGAAAATATCTGTACTGAATAATGCAAATAATTTCCCAATGTAGACAGAACAGCAGGTGAATTTGTATGGAAGAGTACTCTTCAATTCATCCACTATATAAAAACATATTCCTGGTATTAAAGGAACACTATAGAGTCAGGAACACAAACATGTTTCAGGTGTTGTACCGGAGGATTGGAGGAAGGCAGATGTTGTTCCTATATTTAAAAAGGGTTCAAAATCCTTGCCTGGAAATTATAGACCTGTGAGCTTAACTTCAGTAACTGGGAAAATATTTGAAGGGCTATTAAGGGATAATATTCAGGAATTCATTGGGAAGAACTTTGTTATTAGCAATAATCAGCATGGTTTTATGAAACATAGGTCATGTCAAACTAACCTAATTGCATTCTACGAAGAAGTAAGTAGAAGTATAGATCAGGGTGTTGCAGTGGATGTGATCTACTTGGACTTTGCCAAGGCATTTGATACGGTTAGTCTTCAAACTAAAAGAAATTGGTCTAGATGAATATTCCTGTTCTTGGGTAGAACATTGGCTTAAGGACAGAGTACAACGAGTTGTAATTAATGGTAAATTTTCAGGCTGGACAAAAGTGGTAAGTGGTGTCCCTCAGGGTTCTGTTTTGGGACCACTTCTATTTAACATATTTATAAATGATCTTGAAATAGGCATTGAAAGCCATGTATCAGTGTTTGCAGATGACACAAAACTTTGTAAAGTAATAAAATGTGAGCAGGATATTGCTTTGCTGCAGAGGGATTTGGATAGATTGGGGGACTGGGCACTAAAATGGCAGATGAAATTTAACATAGAGAAATGCAAAGTTATGCACTTCGGGGTTAAGAATGCACAAGCAACTTACACACTAAATGGTAGTGAATTAGGGATAACCACACACGAGAAGGATTTGGGCATTGTTATAGACAACAAATTAGGCAGCAATATGCAATGTCAATCTGCAGTTGCTAAGGCCAGTAAGATTTTGTCATGTATAAATAGGGGCATAAATTCTCGGGATGAAAATATAATTTTGCCTCTTTATAAATCGCTGGTAAGACCACACCTTGAATATGCTGTGCAATTTTGGGCGCCTGTTCTAAAGAAGGATATCATGGCACTGGAGAGGGTCCAGAGACGAGCTACAAAATTGATAAAAGGAATGGAGCATTTTAGTTATGAAGAAAGGTTACAAAAATTAAATCTGTTTCGTTTGGAAAAACGGCGCCTGAGAGGGGATATGATAACTTTATACAAATATATTCAGGGCCAGTACAAACCTTTATCTGGAAATCTATTCATAAACAGGGTTATACATAGGACACGAGGTCACACATTTAGGCTGGAAGAAAGGAGATTTCATCTAAGGCAAAGAAAAGGTTTTTACAGTAAGAACAATAAGGATATGGAATTCTCTGCCTGAAGAGGTGGTTTTGTCAGAGTCCATACAGATGTTTAAACTGAAATTGGATAAATACTTACAAAAACATAACATACAGGGATATAATTTCTAATTAGTGGGGTAATAGCTGATTGATCCAAGGAGACATCTGACTGCTATTTTGGGGTCAAGAAGGAATTTTTTCCTAGTTTGTGGCAAAATTGGAAGTGCTTCAGACCAGGTTTTTTGCCTTCTTTTGGATCAACAGCAACAACATTTCTGAGGAAGGCTGAACTTGATGGACGCAAGTCTCTTTTCAGCTATGTAACTATGTAACTATGTAACTATGTAACTATGTATTCCTGACCTTATAGTGTTTAATCAACCATTTAGGTGACTCCCCTTAAGCCCCTTGGAAAAGGTGAAAACTCACCTTATTTCCAGTGTCGCGCGGGTCCACCGATGCTGGCCCCATCCCTGATCCGCTTGATTGGTGACATCATCAGAATTGCCAAATTATATGCATCTCTATGAGGAAAATTCAGCATCTCCATGCAGTGTGGAGATGCTGAATGGCAGTGCTGCCTACTGTGCAGCACTGCTCCAGGAAACACCTCCAGTGGCCATCTGAGAAGTGGCCACTTGGAGGTGTCCCTAAGGGGCAATGTGAAACACTGCCTTTACTATAAAAAAAGACTGGGTTTACATGAAAATGCCTGAAGGCAATGATTATATTCACCAGAACAAGTACATTAAAGGAGCACTATAGGGTCAGGAACACAAACATGTTTTCCTGACCCTATAGTGTTAAAACCACTATCTAGACCCCCTGCCCCCATGCCTCCCTAAATATAGTAAAATTGTACTTGTATTCCAGTCTGGAACTGCTGCCTCTGAAATGCACCTGACCTCTGACATCATCAGAAGTGGTGGTCTGAGCCAATTACATTGCTTCCCCATATGATTGGAGGCAAATCAGGGGCAGAGCGAGCCCTGGCCAATCAACATCTCCTCACAGAGATGAATTGAATCAATGCATCTCTATGAGGAAAGTTCAGTGTCTGCATGCAGAGGGTGGAGACACTGAATGTTGTGATGCATACAAGGCATACAAGGCAGGACTGCCGCAGGAAATGCCTCTAGCAGCCATCTGAGGAGTGGCTAGTGAAATTATCACTAAGCTGTAATGTAAACACAAAAAGACGGTGTTTAGAGCAAAAAGCCTGAAGGGAATGATTATACTCACTAGAACAAGTGTAATAAGTTGTTCTGGTGACTATAGTGTCCATTTAACTCTAAATTTATCTACATCTATCAAGAATATATATCCTCTTTAGACAGTAAATGTCAATATATTGTACTTGTTAAATACATTTTGCATTTTATAATGTCAGTTCCATCCCTTCTCTGCTCTGTAGGGCTTTCATTTTATTTTGATATGTAGTTTCATGCAAACCATTGGTTATTCTTGTAACTGTGTGTACTGTACCAAAGTCTTCATAGTATTACTATTTTCTTAGGCATTGTTTATATTTGATCAATAAAGTAGTATCTGCTACATTGCTGCAACTGAATATTTTGCCCTGCGCCAAGTATTGAACTATCCTGCTGTGTTGGTATGCTGCTTTATAACACTGTGTACTTCTGTTCATGTTAAATAAAAAGCTTTAATAAAATCCAGTTAAAAGTATTTTTCACTTGTGGGATTGTCTACCTTAAATTCATTTTTAAGTATTTTGTGGTATTGCATCTTTAGAACATTCTAAATTGCAAAAATCCACAGTTGTAATTTTTTATTTAATTTTATAAAAGCTGGAGGTTTTTATTACATTAATGTTTACATTTATTTGTAAATTGCTTTAAAATGTCTAGAACCATTAATACAACTTTAATAAACATATTTATTTTGCATATTTAATTAAGACATATGAAGGTCATAAGCTTGTTTGAGTAGGGTCCTCATCAGCCTTGTCCCTTTAGAATTTTGTAATTATCTAATTTATTGTTAAATTTCCCCCTTTTATAAAATTGCAAAGTGCTGCAGAATAAGTTGGCACTATATGCATGTCAATAATAATATAATAATAACAAAAATATCTACTGCTTTTGTGTTGAACATTTAGAAATTCGAAAGCACAAGGTTTTTGTTTTTTCAATAATTACTTGATTTCACAAAGTTTTAAAATACAATTTTTATGTTTTTTTTTTCTTTTTGAGTGTGTATTTTTGTGTGTGTGTGCAGTATTATTCCACTTTTAAATACACATGCAGTAATAAAATGGTTTTATATACATGTGTTTTGTATTTATGTATTCTATCTGCCTAAAATATACAGAATTTGATAGTAATGCTTAGAGATTGGATACAGGGCCACCATCAGGGCATGACAACCAAAACAGTTGTCATGGGCCCGGCGGTCCTGGGGGGCCCGGACTGCTCAGGGCGCCCCAAGCCCCACATTAGCTATGTGCACACAGATATAGAGATTAACGCTATATATGTGTGCACTGCGGGCACCATTCCTCAGGACCCCCAGTCAACATGATCTCCCCCTTCCATGGCCACAGGTGAGATGCATGGAGGGGGGAATAAAACAATACAATTAATGGAAGGAAAAAAAACTGTAGGCTTTTCCCCCTACATTTTGCAGCCCCATACATTTACACATACTATACACTAACACTTACACACGATACACTAACATTTACACACACTATACACTAACATTTACACAAACTATACACTAACATTTACACACACTATACTCTAACATTTACACACACTATACACTAACATTTACACACACCATGCACTAACATATACACACACTATACACTAAGATTTACACAAACTATACACTAACATTTACACACACTATACACTAACATTTACACACTATTCACTAACATTTATACAAAATATACACTAACAT